ACGTCATCTGAGGCCTGGCCTATGAGGAAGACAGAAGATGGCAGATCTAGAAGATGGGGAGAAGATGGAAGTGCCATCTGTAAGATGGTGGGAGTATGTGCAGGGACAAAGCAATGCCTGTGCACATGAAGGAGAGTTACGTCATCTGAGGCCTGGCCTATGAGGAAGACAGAAGATGGCAGATCTAGAAGATGGGGAGGAGATGGAAGTGCCATCTGTAAGATGGTGGGAGTATGTGCAGGGACAAAGCAATGCCGTGCACATGAAGGAGAGTTACGTCATCTGAGGCCTGGCCTATGAGGAAGACAGAAGATGGCAGACCCCGAATATGAGGAGAAGATGTAAGTGCCATCTGTAAGATGCTGGGAGTACGTGCAGGAACAAAGCAACGCCCGTGGATCTGAAGGAGAGTTACGTCATCTGAGGCCTGGCCTATGAGGAAGACAGAAGATGGCAGATCTAGAAGATGGAAGTGCCATCTGTAAGATGCTGGGAGTAAGTACTGGCATGCCCAACTGCCCATGTGCATGAATGAGAGTTACATATTTAGGATCTATCATCTTCTCTCTTCCTCATAGGCCAGCCTCAGATGACGTACTTCCCCTGCATGTCGAGAGCATCGGTTCAGCCCTGCACTTACTCCCGGCATCTCACAGGTGGCAATTCCATCTTTTACAAGTCGTCTTTAGGGTTAGGAGTTTTTAGCCTTGATTGGGAGGGTCAAAATGATGTACAAAAACTCCCAGGCATGCACACAGGAGTGACTGCATCTCCATCCCCCGGCACTCACTCCCAGCATCTTGCAGACTCCATTTCTTTCTTCTCATCATCTACTTCTGGCTTTTCTCCCTTCTGTCTTCCTACTGGACTAGCTTTCAAATGCTGTAACTCCCGTGTATGCGCATGGGCGTTACTTTGTCCTAGCACTCCCAGCACTTCCATCTTCCCCCGATCTTCATCTGGGTTCAGGAGCCGTCTTGATTGGCAGGGGAGAAATCATGTACAGAAACTTTCAGATATGCGCAGAGGAATGACTTCATCCTGATGCCTGGCACTTACTCCCAGCATCTGGAGCATGTGCAGCTCTTGGTCTACAATCCAGAAAATATTGGTAGTCGGCAAAACCTACTTTTTTTAGTGACAACCTGTAGTTTATCCTTAAAACTGCGAAAAAATTGCTCCCTGCAAAGATCTAGAAAATATTTGTCTCTACAGCTGTGAATGCCACTGTAAGACAATGGACTGAAGAATCTTCAGAATCTGTCCCCCAGATTTTGTGTGCACCTGTTTTAGTAAATCCCCCCATAGTGTCCAGTTGTAGATGTGCATGGCTTCCATATTCAGGATTTGCTTCCTGCTCCCTTAATGTTTTAAAACCTTGTTTTTGTATATAGTGTGCAATTCTAGATGTACAAGAGTGCAGACGTATTTGCTCACTCCACATGCGGACACTGCTTCTTGTTGAACATTTTAAAAGCCTCCTTGCTGTGTACTGCATAGTAGACAATTACAGATGTATATAGGTGCAGCCAGGGCTTGTTATCTCAGAGAATAGGTGCAGGTACTCACCCCCTGTCTCTGCTCCCTACCCACCTCTGAGCACCGTTCCTTGGTTCCACCCCCTACCTACCTCCCAGTGCCACCCCATTGAGAGAATACAGAACCAAGTAGACCCTTCAATAGACCCTCCAGCAGCCAGTAACAATCAGGGTGGATTTGATTGAAATCACGAATTAAATCACTAGTCTGTAAGGCTTGATGTAAATCCTAGTTTTCTACATAAAGACTAATTCTTGCTGGTATAACTTTAATATACAAGTAGATGAAGATTTGTAGAATAACAACTTTTCATATTAGTTTTTTTATCCCCAGTTTAATAGGTTAATCATTCATATTTGGACAACTTTTCTGTTGTACTTCGGAAGGAGAAAAACAATCATTACCTTAATAATAATAATTTAAATAGATTTATTCATCTGAAACAACAACATTCCAGCATATGTGATTGCTTAAACATCCATGTTTGGTAACTAATTTGGCTAAACAAAATCTATATATTTTAGGAAACTTAGACTGTCAGCCCCTTCCTCCTCACACTTAGTCTCACTTTCTTCTTGTGCAGATCTATTCCACTCCAAACAATCAGAAAAATCTTGTTTCTATTCTATTCATTGAACTTCTTGAAACTTAGCAGTGAAGGGGTTGATTCTGTATTCATAGGTTTGTAGAAGTTAGGATGAAGGTCTTTTTCTTAACTCTGTTCATGTTATAACATTTTTGCTGTGAAGAAGAGGCATGTGATCTCCGCTGAGTCAAATTCAGTTTTGAGAACTGCAAAAGTAAACCAGAATCTGTGATAATATCTTGTAGGCAGAGAAACTGCCCAATAATCTTACAAAAACCTCTGGAAGAGCATGACATTGTGAATGGATTCATGGGATTTATTTACCAAAAAAATTAAACATATACAGCCTTATTCTACATAATTAAAAAACTAATCTTTATTTCATGATGGAATAACCTTTGGATGGTAAATATATTTTCCTCAAAAAGCATTTTAATTAAAAAAAATCCGATTTAAATAAAAAAAATCCGATTTTTTTTGATTTTTTAAAAACTCCCTCACCCTCCCTCAACAGTAGATCCTTTCTAGCAATAATTGATCCCCAAGCAACACAAGACCTTTCCCCGAGACAGTAGAACTCCCCAGCAACAGAAGGACCCCCACAGCAATATATCCCCCAGCAGCCAGCATCAATTGGGGCAGCACAGTGGCTAAATGGTTAGCACCTCCACCTTCCAGTACTAGGGTCGTTGTTTCAAATCCCAACCACGACACCACCTGCCTGGAGTTTGAACGCTCTCCCTGTGCCTGCGTGCGTTTACTCCGGGTACTCCGGTTTCCTCCCACACTCCAAAGACATGCTGGTAGGTTAATAGACTCCTGTCTAAATCGCCCCTAGTATGTGTATGTATGAATGTAAGTTAGGGACCTTAAGTTAGGGACCTTAGATTGTACGCCCCTTGAGGGTTAGGGACCTTAGATTGTACGCCCCTTGAGGGTTAGGGACCTTAGATTGATTACGCCCCTTGAGGGTTAGGGACCTTAGATTGTACGCCCCTTGAGGGTTAGGGTGGGGACCTTAGATTGTACGCCCCTTGAGGGTTAGGGACCTTAGATTGTACACCTTAGATTGTACACCCCTTGAGGGTTAGGGACCTTAGATTGTACACCCCTTGAGGGTTAGGGACCTTAGATTGTACACCCCTTGAGGGTTAGGGACCTTAGATTGTACGCCCCTTGAGGGTTAGGGACCTTAGATTGTACGCCCCTTGAGGGTTAGGGACCTTAGATTGTACGCCCCTTGAGGGTTAGGGACCTTAGATTGTACACCCCTTGAGGGTTAGGGACCTTAGATTGTACACCCCTTGAGGGTTAGGGACCTTAGATTGTACACCCCTTGAGGGTTAGGGACTGATGTGAATGCACAATATATATATATATGTAAAGAGCTGCATAAATTGATGGTGCTATATAAGTGCCTGAAATAAATAGACCCTCCAGCACCCCTTGCCATAACATTTATTCAGTGCTAGAACTCTGTTCCCCCACATTCCCGCTAAAAAAAACAAATCCAGGTTGCAGCCATATTTGCTCATTCCATATACAGGCTTTTCTTCCTTCTCTCTTCTCCGAGCACCAGACTGTTGGTGCCCATAGACTCACGAGGGTGGTTGGGATGTGCAGGAACATGTGCAGGAACATGCTGACCCCTCCTAGGCATCTCAGGTCATTGTGGTCCCACAAACACGAATGCTCAGATAGAGATCGGCAGGGGAAGCTCTTGCACGCACCTCTAACTCCAACTGATTCCAGGGAAGGAAATATTAATCAGACACGCTCCCCCATCATGCTAAAAATGAATGGTTTATCATCTGATGTATATAGGCAGATAGATGTGATCCGATCAAAATGAGCAGAATCTCTTCAGGGCTAAATGAGCTTATCTCAGCAGTCTTTATTCAGGGATGCAAACCACATTATCCGATATAAGTGAGCTGGAAGATTTCCAAATCCATAGAAATACGGAAAATATGGAACAAGTAAGAGGCTTTCTGGATATTTTTGCTATGCCCTAAAATGTATAAACCAATGGCGTCATTTATTGCTGGCATGAGATTACCGCTGACGCTCCTCAGCCTGGAGTTGTTCTTTAATTCACATTCTACCTGGGGAGAGGGGGGTTAATAGCGGGAGCTTTGGCTGGAAGGCGGATGATTGCAGTAGTCGGGATATGCTGTGAAGTGACATCATCTTTTTATGAGGTGAGTCTGTCATCGTAAAGCAATCCTTCTGCTAACATGTAAAATAAATCATTGTAAGTTATTATTACAGGTGTCACCCTCCGGAGGATTGCTTCCAATCTGTTAATCCCTCCACCCGGGGGGGCCAACGTCCCACCCTGAATTAAGTGTACACTGGGCACTGGCCCCGGGGCCCCAGACTTACATTAACCGGCTCTGAGGCACTGTTATACAAATAGATTTTTGTTACAGCTTAGAGCTGAGCTTGCTCACCCATCTTCTTACTAAACCCACAACAGTACAATCAGTCTGTAGATGCAGTAAAGCATGCTTGGTTATACTCACTGTGGAACCTATGGGGAAATCCTCTGCCTTGTGTAAAATGGTCCATTGATCCTGTCTTCTCTGATCCTCCTCTTGTTCAAATGTCCACTCTTACCTCCTGATAAGACAGACTGAACCATAGGAATTCTGCACATGCTCAATTTAGTGTGTATTGCTAGAGCATTTTTGTTTTTTCTTGGGAGAGGGCATGTGATCAGCATAGGGCCAATCAGCACTGTCCAGACAGAGGTCAGGGGTTCTGCATCCTCCTAGAGCAGAAATAAAACTCCTCCTACAGGCTTTAACCAGTGCTCTGCTGGACACTGATAGAAGTCACAAGACTGCTGTATACTGATGATGAGAAAATGTATTTAGCAGTTTATATTTACCAAAATTATTACAATTCCATGTTGTGTACTGTGGGAGACCAGATATAGTGAATGCAGGGTCCAGGGAGACCAGATATAGTGAATGCAGGGTCCGGGGAGACCGGATATAGTGAATGCAGGGTCCGGGGAGACCAGATATAGTAAATGCAGGGTCCGGAGAGGGTGAAGCACCGGATATAGTGAATGCAGGGTCCGGGGAGACCGGATATAGTGAATGCAGGGTCCGGGGAGACCGGATATAGTGAATGCGGGTCGGGGAGACCAGATATAGTGAATGCAGGGTCCGGGGGACCGGATATAGTGAATGCAGGGTCCGGGGAGACCAGATATAGTGAATGCGGGGTCGGGGGAGACCGGATATAGTGAATGCGGGGTCCGGGAGACCGGATATAGTGAATGCAGGGTCCGGGGAGACCGATATAGTGAATGCGGGGTCCGGGGAGACCGGATATAGTGAATGCGGGGTCCGGGGAGACCGAATATAGTGAATGCAGGGTCCGGGGAGACCGGATATAGTGAATGCGGGGTCCGGGAGAGACCGATATAGTGAATGCGGGGTCCGGGGGAGAGCGGATATAGTGAATGCGGGGTCCGGGAGACCGGATATAGTGAATGCGGGGTCCGGGGAGACCGGATATAGTGATGCGGGGTCCGGGGAGACCGGAAATAGTGAATGCGGGGTCCGGGAGACCGGATATAGTGAATGCAGGGTCCGGGGAGACCGGATATAGTGAATGCAGGGTCCGGGGAGACCGGATATAGTGAATGCAGGGTCCGGGGAGACCGGATATAGTGAATGCAGGGTCCGGGGAGACCGGATATAGTGAATGCAGGGTCCGGGGAGACGGATATAGTGAATGCAGGGTCCGGGGAGACCGGATATAGTGAATGCAGGGTCCGGGGAGAGCGGATATAGTGAATGCAGGGTCCGGGGAGAGCGGATATAGTGAATGCAGGGTCGGGGAGAGCGGATATAGTGAATGCAGGGTCCGGGGAGAGCGGATATAGTGAATGCAGGGTCCGGGGAGAGCGGATATAGTGAATGCAGGGTCCGGGGAGACCGGATATAGTGAATGCAGGGTCCGGGGAGACCGGATATAGTATATGCAGGGTCTCGGGGAATGCAGTGGTCCGGGGAGACCAGTTATAGTGAATGCAGGGTCCGGGGAGACCGGATATAGTGAATGCAGGGTCTGGGGTTTAGTAACACTTTAACAAGCGAATATGGAAACCATATCGGTGGCAGAGAGTCCATTTCACTACCCAGAAGTTGGTATGGATGATAGTTGCTATCAGTAACATAATTACTAAGGGTATCATATGGTTACTTAAAATAGCAACTGGTTGCTATGGGAATGCACAACTGTTCTGAGTAGTATATGGTGGCTCTGGAATGCATCTGGTTGCCATGGTAAAACATGATTACTCTGGGTAGAATATAGTTGATTTGGGTTGCATGTGGTTGCAGTGGGAGCACAAGGATACTGTGGGTAGAATCTGGTTGCTATGGGAAAACAATTGCTTTGGTTAGAATATGATTGCTCTGCGTAATAGCTGGTTGCTATGGAAACACATAGATTTTCTGGGTAGAATGTGGCTGCTCTAGGTCGCATTTGTTTGCTGTAGGAACATCAGGTTGGTCTGGATAGCATCTGGTTGCTGTAAGAGCACATGATTGCTCTGGTTAGAATGTGTGCTCTGTGTGCCAACTGGTTGCTATGGAAACTCGTGATTTCTTTGGGTAGAATGTGGTTGCTCTAGGTTGCCTCTGGTTGCTATGAAAACACAGTTCTGGATTGCATCTGGTTGCTATGAGAACACAGCTGTTTTGGGTTGCCTCTGGTTGCTATGAGAACACAGTTGTTCTGTGTTGCCTCTGGTTGCTATGAGAACACAGCTGTTCTGGATTGCACCTGGTTGCTATGAGAACACAGCTGTTCTGGGTTGCCTCTGGTTGCTATGAGAACACAATTGTTCTGTGTTGCACCTGGTTGCTATGAGAACACAGTTCTTCTGTGTTGCACCTGGTTGCTATGAGAACACAGTTGTTCTGGGTTGCCTCTGGTTGCTATGAGAACACAATTGTTCTGTGTTGCACCTGGTTGCTATGAGAACACAGCTGTTCTGGGTTGCCTCTGGTTGCTATGAGAACACAGTTGTTCTGGGTTGCCTCTGGTTGCTATGAGAACACAGCTGTTCTGGGTTGCCTCTGGTTGCTATGAGAACACAATTGTTCTGTGTTGCACCTGGTTGCTATGAGAACACAGTTGTTCTGTGTTGCACCTGGTTGCTATGAGAACACAGCTGTTCTGGGTTGCCTCTGGTTGCTATGAGAACACAATTGTTCTGGGTTGCACCTGGTTGCTATGAGAACACAGTTGTTCTGTGTTGCACCTGGTTGCTATGAGAACACAGTTGTTCTGTGTTGCCTCTGGTTGCTATGAGAACACAATTGTTCTGGGTTGCCTCTGGTTGCTATGAGAACACAATTGTTCTGGGTTGCCCTGGTTGCTATGAGAACACAATTGTTCTGGGTTGCATCTGGTTGCTATGAGAACACAATTGTTCTGGGTTGCCTCTGGTTGCTATGAGAACACAATTGTTCTGGGTTGCACCTGGTTGCTATGAGAACACAGTTGTTCTGTGTTGCACCTGGTTGCTATGAGAACACAGTTGTTCTGTGTTGCACCTGGTTGCTATGAGAACACAGCTGTTCTGGGTTGCCTCTGGTTGCTATGAGAACACAGCTGTTCTAGGTTGCCTCTGGTTGCTATGAGAACACAATTGTTCTGGGTTGCATCTGGTTGCTGTGGCAGCACATGATCGCTATAGGTTGAACACTGTTGTCTTGGGTAGCATCTGGTTGCTATGGAAACACATGACCGCTCTGGGTAAAATGTAATTGCTCTGTGTAGCATCTGGTTCCTATGGAAACACTGTTATGGGATCATGTGATTGTTCTGGGTAGATGAGGGTTACATTGGGTTTCTTCCAGTTGCTGTGGGAACATGATTGCCCGGGGTAACCTTTGGTTGCTATGGGTAGCATCTGTGTATTAATTACATAGGAGGTAGGTCCATTGTTACCAGTTAGGTGGCATCTCTGTGGGTTATTGATAACATTTGGTTGCTGTGGGTGATGGAAAATATCTGGTTGCTATGGAAACGTGCGGTTATTGGCTATATCTGGTAGCTGTGGAGATACACACTTGCTGCCATAGCTATTACTTGATTGGTCAGATAAAAAATGTGATTACTTGCTTAGTTGGTTGCTTTTGATTGGCTGTCTGGTTGGTTGCTATGGGCAGCATTTGATTAGTTGGTGTTCCTTAAATCTGGCCGTCGTTCTTGCCTATGGCTGTTAAACAGAACCTGGGAGAATATTTGATGCCTGGGGGAAGATGCAGTCCCTCCGCTTTCATTCATTAGCTCATTCATTCATTAATGCGGTATTGAGTTTGACAGCCCTGTCAGGGAATCCCTTTCACAGCCGCCATGTTGAATTGTGTCAGGGGCCCACCTATCACTTGCAGCCTGAGTTTGGCCAGGGGCCACTTGGGGGCTTCCAGTCCCATCAGCACTTAACCCGGCTGCCCTGGGCCTCCTGAATAATAGATGAAACGCTTAGCCTAGGCCTGATTTATGCCAGTGGACGCTGCTGAGGGAGAGGCCTCGCTTCCTCCATGGTTGCCGGGGAAACTGTTCCCTGTTCCCCTCGGTTCCCTCAACGCGGTATAATCCGATCAGTGTACAATTTACTTCGCAATTATTGTTGCTGTGCCTCTATACAGGAAACTGCACATTTTCTGCCTTGTACGCGTGTGCTCAGTGTGCAAATCTGGACACCCATGGAGTGCCACCCTGACACTGAGGCCATGAGGGTGTATGGTATGAACCGAATGGCTCAGTGCGCAAATCGCAACACCCTTGGAGTGCCACCCTGACACTGAGGCCATGAGGGGTGTATGGTATGAACCGAATGGCTCAGTGCGCAAATCGCAACACCCTTGGAGTGCCACCCTGACACTGAGGCCATGAGGGTGTATGGTATGAACCGAATGGCTCAGTGTGCAAATCGCAACACCCATGGAGTGCCACCCTGAACAGGCCATGAGGGTGTATGGTATGAACCGAATGGCTCAGTGCGCAAATCGCAACACCCTTGGGGTGCCACCCTGACACTGAGGCCATGAGGGTGTATGGTATGAACCGAATGGCTCAGTGTGCAAATCTGGACACCCATGGAGTGCCACCCTGACACTGAGGCCATGAGGGTGTATGGTATGAACTGAATGGCGCAGTGCGCACATCAGTACACCTGTGGAGTGCCACCCTGACACTACAACCAAAAGGGTGTATGGTGTGAACCGAATGGCCCAGTGTGCAAATCAGGACACCTGTGGAGTGCCACCTGGACACTACAACCAAAAGGGTGTATGGTGTGAACCAAATGGCCCAGTGCGCAAATCAGGACACCTGTGGAGTGCCACCTGGACACTGGGGGTGAAAGGGTGTATGCTTTAAACTGATTAGTTTTTTGTACAAATCAAGACACCCATGGCATGCCACCCTGACACTGGGAGTTAAAGCACAAGTTGGATGGCCCATACACACTGGTATTCAGTGAAGGATCACCCTTACTTCTTTTTAAAAAATCATGCAATGTGTGAACTCTACTCTCATCCGTACAATTACCTGTGGTGTTCACATACCTTATACACACAGACAGGCATGTGAGACAAAAAAAAAAAGGCTCTGGTATTTTAGACTGAGCAGCCCGAGGGGCCCTTCCCTTGGAGTCTGATGGCGGAATGCCAGGGCCCGGTCGCAAATGAGACCTTTGCGACCCTGGTAGTTCCACTGGTGTCAGTAGTTTTTTATTGTTATTTTATTTTTTATCCCCCCCCCCCATTTTATTTTATTTATTTATTTTTACAATTTGATTTTTAAATTTTTTTTTTACAATTTGTACCATTTTGTTTTCTAGCAGCCTTGTTGGGGGGTTTTGATGAGATATCAGGGGTCTAAACAGACCCTTGACATCTCACCTTTGAGACTGAGAAAGAAGATTGAGGACAGCCCTCAATCTCCGTCTCTGCAGCCTCAGCAGCACAGAAAGAATGGACAGGAATAGCTCTGTACAGAGCTTCCCGTTCATTCATAAACTGAAGCATAGGGAACACAGTTTACTATGCTTCAGTCATGAATGAACAGAGTCGTTGATCGGTACCGATCACTGACTGTCCATTCAGACAAGCAAGGGGCCTGTAAATGACACATTTATTGGTCGCTTCCCTGCTCTCCATCCTGACAGATCCCCCACAGCAGCCGGCGGGAGATGAGAGGGGGGAACCCGGCAGGGCGGGGCAGGAGGGAGGGCCATGGGAGAGAACCAAGGGACCCGGAGAGAGAACCGAGGGACCCGGAGAGAGAACCGAGGGACCCGGAACAGAGGGACCCGAGAGGAACCGAGGGACCCGGAGAGAGAGGGACAGGGTCCTAGGGGCAGCAGAAAGAAGAGGGATAGGTGCAGGGAATGTGCAAAAACAAGTGACACATATGTAGGCACTGCAGCATAGTTTCATACAACCTTAAGGGCCCATTTACACGTGTTAGTGTGTGATGTCACGTGTTAGCAGCCCACTGGAATCAATGGGTTTGAGACACAAAAATGTCCCAAAAATCACAAAATGATGTTACATTACTATGCATTGTAAGGCACAACGCAAATTAACAGGGAAAACGGCAGATGTCCTTGTCCATGTGCAGGGACTGCATTGGGCAAGACTGCGAAGCGCAGCCCTACCATGGTGTGAATGAGCCCTTAAAGTCAATCTTAGCTACATGTCCATCTAAAGCCGGCCATAAATGGATCGAATCTCAGCCTGTTGAGCAGGAACGGC